ACCATGATCCCAACAGGCAAAGCCAGGGGCATGAGATGGGGAGAAGGCACAGCTGGTGGCAGGGCTGGCGGGGAGATGAGAGAGAGCAGGGGAAGGGAGGCAGGTGAAGCGGCTGGAGCCCTGGGGTGCCCAGGTGCGGGGCAGGGCCAGGAGGAAGGGCGGAGCCACAGCTTAAGAGTCTGGGATGGATCTGGAAGGCTGGGGAGTTATTCATTCATGCGTTCATCCACTCATTCCTTGTTTCCAGGGAGGAAATACAGTGTAGCCATGATGTGCTGGGGTTCACATCCCCGCTCCACTGCTTAGCAGCTCTGTTGCCTTGGGCAAAAGACCTAACCTCCCTCCAGTGAAATGGGCAAGTGTCTTGAACACAGTGACTCCATTTCCCCATTTGCAAAATGGGCATCACAATAAAAGGGCTTCATGAGTAAATGCCTGCAAAGCACTTACCACAGTCCCCGGCACACGCATGACTAAATGCTGTCATTCCATCCATCCACCCAACCAACAGCACCACTATGCCGGGGGCCCTGCACTGGGCGCTGGGGTGCAGCTGTGAAAACAGGCATTCCCTCTGTAGCCTGGAGCCAGTGATGGACACAAACAAACAAAAACCTCACGCCTACGATCTAGACTGTGACGGGGGAAGGGTGAGGGGCTGCAAAAGCATACAGGCAGGCTCTCTGCCCAATCCTGGGGGCTGAGGGTTTCCTGTAGGAGGTGACCTCAAAGCCTAGTGGTGCAGCTAGCGGCCTGTCCGCTGTTGCATCCCCAGGGCTTGGTACAGGGACTGGCACGCGGTAGGCACTAGGCTGTTCTGTTTATGAATGAGATACGGGTTATCCAGGAGAAGGTGGGAACAGGAAGTTTTGCCGGGCAGATGCAACAGCAAAGGCAAAGACCAGGAGGACAGAGGCAGTCTCAGCCCATCCTCAGCCCTGCTGAAGCGCAGCTGGTGCAGCCAGAGCGGGAGGGGAGGGAGGGGAGATCTGGAGGCCGCCTGCATCCTTCCTGGGCTTTGGGACTTCCCACTCCTGCAACGGCTGGGTCCATCCTGAGCCCAGATGGGGGCGAGGCCAGCCAGGGCCAGCTGGGCCCAGGGCCATGGGGGGCTGCTTCTGCGGTAGAGGCTAATCAGGGCCGCTGCCTTGACTCCTGACCTGACTGGGGCCCGGCATTCCAGCCAGAACCCCCAGGGAGAAGGAAGGAGGACTTGGCGCCCCGGCACTGGCCTCGTCCAATGCAAACATGGCCGCCCACTCGACAGGAAGACGCAGTAGAGTCAAAGCTCAGGAGACCCAGCCGGCGTCGGGCTCCACCGGGCCCGGCAGGTCCTTCTGACGTCCAGCTCCCACTGGGCCAGGCCCCGCTGTCCTCTTGTCCCCTCCACTCCGGTCATCCAGGCCGTGCAGGTCCAAGAACACAAAGAGCGGCCTCCTGGCTCTCCTTGGCCTGGGATGCCTTCCTCTCTTTTGTCAACTCCCACCACCCTTCACATCTCCAAGAGGCCCGCTCACCCCGGGTGTGTCCCCTGAGCATAAATCTTCATCCACATCGTTCCCGGGGCCCAGCTCGTCTTCTGGCGCCATGAAGATGGAGCAGATGCCGAAGGAATGCAGGGAGAACTGGCCCTGCACACGGGCAGTCCCCAGCCGGGATCTGAGGCTGGAGAAATCTTCCCCTCGCTCAGGGGCTCAGAACTCACCTGCTCAGGGACTTAATGGTCTTTCCAGTAGCTTCTCAGGAATGCAAGAAAGTGTACAAGCAAGAAGGGAGACTCCCCTGAGGCCAACCGAAAGCTGAGGCACAACCTGGACGTTTATCATCCCCAAATGCAGTGCACCGCGGGGAGGGTCCCAGGGTCTGCGGTCGGACCCTAGGCACTGATTTCCTCCTCAGAGCCTCAGTTTCCCTGTCTATAAAAGAACAAACGGGGACTTCCCTGGTGGTCCAGTGGTTAAGACTCCACGCTCCCAATGCAGGGGGCACGGATTCAATCCCTGGTCGTGGAACTAAGATTCCACATGCCGCACGGCGTGGTCAAAGAAAAAGAACAAACGGTGCTGGGATGGGGTGCTGACTTATTGGGGTCCCTAGCATGTGGTGAGGGCCTCCTGAATACTGTGTTACCCCTGATGACCATCCACCTCCCACACACCCACTACAAGGCTCCAGCCTGCTCACTTCCCATGGCCTCCGTGGAGGGCTGGGAGCCACCAGACCCCGCTGCTGCCTTTCATCCCAGACAGGAAGGCTCAGCTTAGCGACAGGACTCAGGGATTTGGAACAGATGTCTGCGAGCTCGCAGGGGGCTGGGAAAGCAGCGACCTCCATCCAGGGCTGACCGGCCGCCTGTCCCTCCCCCGGCCTCACCCCACTCCCTCCAGGAGACCGGGGCCAGAGCCGCTGCCCACTCCTCCCTCCAATGAGGTCAAGGAGAGAGGGGGCAGAGCCAGCAGAGGTGGCCTGAGGGCTAGGAGAGGCTCCCCCGCCCACCTTGACTGAGGACCCACCCGGCCCCCACCGGGAATACCCTGATGATCACCTCTTCCTCCCCTGATACTATGCGACCTGTGGCTCAGCGTGGAGAAAACCAAATTTGAACAGAACCAAACATGGGCCACGTCTGTCTGGGGCTGCTGTGGGTGCCCAGAACCCCTCCTGCATAAATGGGATCAGGGTCAGGATGTCTTTTGGGAGCAAGCTGGGAGAACATTTCTCAATCCCTTTGGAAGAGGCCACCCCAAGAAGAACCTCAGCCTGAGCCGCTCTCAGCAGAGTCCTGTTGGTCACACACAAGGACTGTCCCAGCTCCTGTAAGCGCTTGGCCTACCTGAGCTCACAGGACCTGCACACTGCCCGAGAGGTGGCAACTCTCACCCCATTTCACAGGGAGGAAACCGAGGCACAGGGAGGGGGTGGCGTCTGCCCAGTGAGTGGCTGTGCTGGGCTTGAGTGTAAAGCCCCTTCTGTGGCCTGAGGCAGACAAAAGAGAGACCTGAGCTGGGCCCGGGGCACAGGACGGAGGAGGTGGGGGCCTCCTTCCTTCATTCACTGTACAGACCCTTCCAGAGCCCCTCCCACATGCCTGGTGTTGCACAACACGATGGGAAGAACGATGGTGTGTGTCTGTGTGTGTGTGTGTGTGGCGTAGGGCCTGGCACACACCAAGTGTAAACGGGAACTGCCCCAAATCCAAACACGTAGACCCTCCCCCGCCCGCTCCTGCCTCGTCTGTGCCTGGCCTGAGCCCCTCATCTGACCCAGGTTCCACCCACACAAGCAACACATCAGCCAATCCCGCATCCTCTGTCATGGAACAAACTGTCTCCCACAGACCCCATCCTATCCCAGATTCCTTCCCCTGTGGCCTTGGGGTCCTGCCAGGCCAGTCTAGCCAGCTCCCCCAACCTCTCTCCCCCCACTGGTTTCCTGTCGCACGCCTGGGTAGAGAGACCCGTCCCATCCCATCCCTCCCATCCCATCGACAAGCCCCACCTGGAGAGCCCGACAGGTCAATGGGTGGTAACAAGGCCTCAGAGCAACCGAGCTTCTTGGGGAGGCAGTGGGTACCAGCCTGCTTTTCTGAGAAGGCTCGGTGTCCCCCCTACCACTTCAGTGCCATTCCCCAGCCCTCCCCAAGGCACTGTCACCCAGAGCTAGGAAAAGCCAACTCCACTGATGGGTGGAATTCACGTCAAGAAGTTTATGCTCTGATCTTGGATACACACGGATGTCAGTATCATTTAGCAGCTGTGTGTCTTTGGGCAAAAGACTTAACCTCTCTGAACCTCAATTTTCTCATCTGAAAAATGGGGATACATTCCCATAATTCCTTATCGAAACCGTTTGGCTCCGGATGTGGTTTAGCATTCAGAACTCTTCAGACTTTAGAGAGATGATGCAGTCCTTATGCCATGCATTGTGTTAACACCTCCAGCCGGGTCTGGGGCTAACAGCCATGTTCAAACATCTCAGGAACAGAATGTATGACTATTCACTCCAGGATCAACAAGGTCTGTAAGTAGCCTCAGGTCAGGTTTAGCAGCCGAAATGAGTTATAAAAGTACTTTGAGGGGCTTCCCCACTGGTCCAGCGGTTAAGACTCCATGCTCCCAGTGCGGGGGGCCTGGGTTCGATCCCTGGTCAGGGAACTAGATCCAGCATGCACGCCTCAACTAAGAGCCCTTGTGCCACAGCTAAGACTCAGCGCAGCCAAATAAATATAAAAAAAAATACTTTGAGTTTTCAGAGCTTTGGGAGATTTTGAACCCACAGATAATGGAGTGTGGACCAATGGAAACACTCCCTCCCTGAAAGGGCTACGGAGCCAGGGGTCGGGGGGGAGGTGGTTATTCCCATTCCCTGAAATGGGGGAGGTGCCATGAGTGAAGTGCTGGGTCCAGACTCGGGATTGTGATTCCCGGGGACCTAAGGGCTCTTGCACCATGGCGTGGGGTTGGGTGGAGAGGCTTGGGCACAGCAGAGAGGCCATGCCATCCGGTCCTGTTACCCAACAGCCAGGTGAAACTTGGCTCCTGCCCTGAGGGCAACCTTCTCGGTGATGAACACACTGGCTCTGTCCCCAAGATCACCCCCAGGGACGGCACACAGCCTCAGGGATTCACTGAACCCCAGAAGTCAACCAGATGCCCCAAGATTAGGAGCCCCTGCCCCAGAGAGCCGACTAGTTCACCCCCTGGTGGGTCACCTCCCTTCTTTGCCCACAACAGCTCTGGGTGTAGGATGGACAATCATTACAGGGCATGGTCCTCGCACCCAGATCCGCTGCTCTGTAAAGGGCTCCCAGGAGGCTTCCCACCCCTCCCAGCCCCAAGAGACACTCATCAGTCTATCCTTCCAGATAGTGGGGGGCACAGGTCCCTTTCCTGAGGCCCCCCATATCTGGATCCTACAGCTAACCCAGGGCGCGCAGCCTCGAGCCCCCGATGGTGGGCACAGGGGACGAGGTGATGGCGGTGCCCTGAGCCCGCGCTTACCCAGGTTGAGAGTGATGTTGACCGAGGTGGGGTACTGCACCCCAAAGGCCATGGACGGGCTCTGCCACCAGGTGCTGTCGTCCTGGCTGTGGAAGTCGGTGAGGTAGGAGGCGTTGTGGTGGCGCTCGGGGTCGGCGGCGTCGCAGCGCTGGCACTGCGCCCCCGCTCCCTGAGCGCCCACGTGCGGACAGAAGTCCTCGGGCGGGCGGCCGCACGTGTGGGAGGCCTCGGCTAGCCGGCCGAACGCCGCGTTCTCGAACACGGGCAGGCAGCGCTGCGGGCGCCCCGCGTCGTCGTAACACGCGCCCATGCCCGCGCCGGCCGCCCGCGGCGTCAGGAGCGCCAGACCCAGCAGGAGCGCGGCCACCGCCGCCATCGTCCAGGGCACCGACGCCCTTGCGGTCCGGCCGAGCACGCCCGGCTCCGCGCGCCCGCCTCGTCTCCCGCTCCGGTGCGCGCGGACCGCGCGCGGGGCCCCAGTACGCGCCTCCCCCGGCGGGCGGGACCCATGGCGGGAGGGAGGGACAGACGGCGGGCAGCGCCCCCCAACCTCCCGACCGCTCCGTCCCTGGGCGCTCACCCCCCCTGGTGGTCGTGCCCGGGAGTGCTCGGCTTGGGAGTCAGCCCCAGCTGCTTTGCCCTGGCTCTGCTGGGGGACCCTGGCTCTTTGACCCTCGGTGTCCTCGTCTGTAAAAAGGGATTGGTAATGATGCAGGTTCATTACCGTGCTTGTGAGGTTTCAATGGCTGTTCATGACATGGAAACTGCTCACTAGTGCCTTTCAAGTCCTGAAATAAAAGGGGCATCAGGGTCTTTACCTGGTCTTTCCCGTTGCACGTCTCCTCCCAGCAATAAAGTCACCCTAGGGGTAGATCCTTAAGTTTCCACCGTTCCATTAACTCTGAAAAGTGCTTCTGCTGCTGGCTATTCTCTGCTCTCAAAGCAGAGATTCTAAGCTGACATTTGTGACCGAGGATACCTGGCCTCATCACAAACATCACCTCAGAGACAGACCTTCCCTCCCCCCACCCGCAGGACATAACCCCTTATATGCTCCATTCATTAAAATTAGTAAATCAAAGGAGGAAGCCAGATGCTCATATCAATAGATGCTAGAGAAAACACTTGATAAAACTTAGCAGCCCTTCCCAGAAAAACTCCAAGGAAAATAGTAATAAACTTCCTAAACACGCTCAGGACTATCTTTCAGCTGCAGCCTTTACAGCTAGGTCCTTCCCATCAGATGTCCTTGCTTGAGACTGGGAACGTAAAAGTGGGCAGAGGCCATCCTCTGCCCTTCTGTGATTTTTTTCTGGTGGCAAGTGAGGTCACAGAGGAGGAGGCTTTCTGCAGCGTGCTTCCCATTCTCCAGCTCTGTGGGGGTCGAGAGGGCTTTGTGTGGCGGTAGCAGCAGCCGTGAGCTCCTGACTCCTATTTCTGCCCCCTGGATTGCAGTTACAGAGTGAGCTCCCAGAGCCTCAGGTGGCGGCAGCTTCCCAGGTGGGTCAGTTCTGCAATGTCCTAGATGTCAGCACTTCCAGTGTCTCTCCATCCATCCCCTGAGCACTTACCTCTCTGCATTCAGTCCTTCCTGCTGCAAACACCTAAGCACTTGCCAAGTGCTTGGCGCCGAGCTCAGCATGGTGACGGTGGAGAGGGTGGGCAATAAATTGCTATCACTACAATGAAGACAAGATCCTGCTCTCTATGAGCCCTCGGTCTGACCGGAGAGGGAGACAGGGCACTAAGAAACAGCCTGATGACATTCCAAGGCTTGTTCTTGCCTGTTTTATAAGACTGGATTGTGGCCACGTGTTTTCCATTCGTTTGTTCCTCAGCAAACGTGTACTCTTGCCCACTGTGTACCCTGCACTGTGTTGGGGACACAGAGGTGAATTAGACACCCCCATCCCACCCCCTAGTGAGGGAGAGACACCACATCCATTGATGTCCATGAAGAGGCTGATAGGATGTAACGGAAGGTGGTGCATGGGGGGCTTGGGGTGTAGGGAGGGTGGGGTGGCTAGTTCTGCCTGCCGGTGGAGGGTGCTTCCTAGAAGAGGTGATAAATAGACCAAGTTGTAAAGGATGAGTAGGGGAAAGGGCATCTCAGGCAGGAGGCACAGCTTGTGCAAAGGCTCAGACGTCTGAATGGGGAGGGCAAACCTGTTGTGTGTTTGCAGCTCTGGGTGGGGACTTGGTCCTGGGGGTGAGGCTGGAGCAGGGTGCAGAGGCCAGATGACGTGGGGGTGCTGGGCGCCACGGTGATGAGCAGGGGCTTCGTCCTGTAGAGGATCTGCGGCTGCCGTGGGTTGTGAGTTCTTGGCGGGCAGGGACCTCGTGTGCATCACCCCCTGTCCCCAGGACCTGAGCTGAGCATAGTTCAGGGGATGTTTGGGGAACAAGCAGGAACCACATGGCTGGCAAAGGCTGATCCTACAGGGGCAGGGCCGGAGATGATGGCTCCTTTAAGAGGCTCCAGCCGGGTGCTCCCTGACCTTGCCCAGCTCCTGGCAATCGCTCTTGAGGGGACCACACCACACTAAGGGGCCAGGATGAGGGGCTAAGTTTAGTTTGGGCAATCAGGGGAGGCTTCTTGGAAGAGGTGACAGCACAGCGGAGACCTGAAAGATGGGATGAGAGGCAGGGTGGAGAGGGAGGGCTCACACTGATGGGAGCTGACAGGGACCCCTCAGCTGTCACCCTCAGAGAACATCTTCTCCCTGGAGTTAACAAGTTCAGACAGGTCCAGGGACATGGTTGGCCTTGGGACATGCCACCCCTCAGTACAGCAACTGTCTCAACCCTCCTCTGTCCCCAGCCCGAGCAGGGCCTGGGCCTGGGATTGAGTCAACCCTGGATAGCCCTTCAAATCCAAGGGGCCCAGATGGATAAATGATGCACCCCCTTGTGGGTGGTGCAGGGGCCAGAGGCTGGGCTCCAAAGGAGGTAACAATGGCTGTTGGGACTTCCCTGGTGGCGCAGTGGTTAAGAATCTGCCCGCCAATGCCGGGGACATGGCTTCGATCCCTGGTCCAGGAAGATCCCACATGCTGCAGAGCAACAAAGCCCGTGTGCCACAACTACTAAGCCTACACTCTAGACCCCGTGAGCCACAACTACTGAGCCCACGTGCCACAACTGCTGAAGCCCGCATGCCTAGAGCCCGTGCTGTGAAACAAGAGAAGCCACTGCAATGAGAAGCCCACACACTGCAACGAGGAGTAGCCCCCGCTCGCCGCAACTAGAGAAAGCCCGCGTGAAGCAACAAAGACCCAACGCTGCCAAAAATAAATAAATTTCTAAAAAAAAAAAAAAGGCTGTCCACTCATCATTCATTCACTCGCTGGACAGACATTTACTTAGTCCGCATGCCATGCCCTGGGCTGGGCACAGGGGACAGAGTGATGAATTGGTGAAACGGTCCCTGCACTTGGGGGTCCAAGAGGAAACTGGTGATTATAACACAGAGTGATCAGAGCGGAAGAGAGAGTAAAGAGAAGGTGCTTACCCCAGTCTGGAGAAGTCAGGGAAGGCTTCCTGGAAGAGGTGAGGTCTCAGCTGAGACCCAGAGAGGAGGAGATAGCCAGTAAAGAGGATGGGGGTGAGCATTTCAGGAGAGGAAACAGCATGTGAAAGGCTTGGAGACAAAACCGAAGAACTGAAGGAAGTCCAGGGTGGCTGGAGATGGGAGTTTGGGAAGAAGCAGGTTGGGGCTGGTGGGGTGGGCAAGGGCCAGCCCCACATGTCCTGATGAAGAGCAGGACTCCACGTGGGGACTGCCGGAGAGCAGCCTCCCTTCTCCAACCTCTCCCAGGGGTCCAGGCTCCCCGCTCCCCAGTGAGAGGCTCCTGCCCTAGATCCAGCCTCTGGCCCCTGCTAGGTCCCCTCCCACTTCCTCTGGACACTCAGGGTCCAGCACGGAAATCCTTGGGCCTGGCACTCCCTGGGGAAACCCCACGGCCGAGTCCACACAGACATGTCTCTGCTGTGCCTGACATTGCCCACACGCAGCCAAAGTCACCCACAACACAGGCCAGCCAGGAACACAAGGCCATGGAGCCCACCCTGTGGGTAGATCACAGAGCCCAGCTGCTCCTCAGTGGGTTTTCTTATTTGTCTGCACCGCTCCCCCAACTAGGGGCCCCTGGAGGGTAGGCAGGAGGGGTGTGACTCATCCCCTGGGTGGGTGCTTGCAGAATGCCTAGTGAATGAATGAAGGATGACGAATGTTAAATGGATGGTAAGTGAATGAGAAGTACATGAAGAATGAGAGCATCTGAATGAACGGATGGAGGGATGGAGGGATGGATGGAGGGATGGATGGATGGAGGGATGGATGGAGGGATGGAGGGATGGATGGTGAACGAGTGGATGTAAGTGTGATTGATGATGGTGGTGATGATGATGGTGATTATGATGGTGACGAATGAATGCACACATGTGGGAAGTGAGGGCTTCTGCTCCTTGGGTTCTCCCCACACAACCTCTGCCCCCAGTTCTGGGGCCCTTGCCCTCTCTGCAGTAGGCACATCCTGATAGCCCCCTCCCCATTTCTCCCACTGCACCTGCCACCCTCTCCTTTTGGCCACTCAGCTCCGGCCACACGGGCCTCCTTCCCAAACACACACAGCGCATTCCCACCTCAAGGCTTTTGCTCGTGCTGTGCCTTATGCCTGGAGCGCTGCTCCCGCAGATTTCTATGTCCCTCCCTGCCCCAGGGTCCCGATATGGAGAGTCCGGCCCAGACCTTCCTTGACCTTCCCCTGTGCTTCCTACTCCTGCACTGGGCAGTATTTTCCTTCCTAACCTGTGACACATACACACACTTGCTTGTTTGTCTGTGGTCTGTCTCTCCCATCAGACTGGGAGCTTCCTGAGGGCGGCAACTGTGCTGCCCCCCTTTCTCTGCCCAGCAGGGACACTTGTGGGATGAATCCATGGGGCACAAAGCAGCAGATGAGGGCACAGAGTCCCCAGTGGAGTGACGAGCTCCACGCAGACACTTGTCTGTGCCAGCAGTCCCCACCGCAGGGAAGCTACCCTTAAACAGTAATTTCACTTCCAAGCTCTTTCTGCTGAGGACAAGGAAATGGAAATTATAAGTCAACAGCAGAACCTAGCAAGGGAAGGAAAGGCGCAGATAAGCCACACCTGCACTCCAGCTGCCCCAGGGATTCTTAAACTTTGCCGTGAGCACCGCTGGAACCAGGATGGGACCCCCAGGCCTGAGTTGGACCCCTGTCTGTCCCCAGGGCCTGGCACGACCCTGCAGAGGCTCCCATTGCTCTCGGGTAAAGGCGGTCTCTGAGACCTCAGCTCCTAAGACTCCAGAACTCCCACATTGTCGGCCAGCACCTTCCGACCCTCAGGCTTTCCAGGTTCCCTCCAACCCCAGGACTTTGGCACCTGCCAGTCCCTCTGCC